CTTTGATTGTGCGGGGGGGGGGGGCAACTGAACCCTGCGAAGTCTGAGGAGAAACACCATCTGCCATTGTGAGCCAGACCTTCCAAATGAGAGAAGCCCTGCAACGGGGGTAAACACGCAGATCAAGTTGTCCGGGAGGGAGTCTTCCCACGCCCTAAGACAACCACAATGGCAAACAGCCAGACAGATTAGTAAAGCTGTCTGTTTAGGCCCTGCAGGCACAGCGGCGCGAGCTATTAGAACAGTTGGAATAAATTCCCCCAATAAGCGTATTAGGGATAATGAGACAAGAAGGAAACTCTTCCCTTCTAACTGCAATCCTTGAATTGGTCAGAGAAAATTGTAGAATACCCCCTAGAAAGCCCAACACAGCAGGCTGTAAATTGTTTTTGCAGGCCTAATCTCCGTCGGTGTGAAGGCCCCACCAAAATGGCGGCCACACCTAGTGCGAAAACAAAATGGCGGCCACCAGCCTCGTGGCCGCCAAAATGGCGACTCTAGAGTAAAAGGAAGCGATATATGAGGCCCTGCAAGGTGGCCAAGGGCTCCCACGGCCTCTGCCACCCAGTCTTCGCTCCCTTCGTGAATAAGGCAAAAAAACCAAACTTGCGATTGTAGATCAGTTAAACAGGCCTCCGCTCTCCGCCGGAGCCTCGTGGCCACGAGGAGAAGATTCCACTCACCAAACCTTCCGGCTCGACGAACTCCTCGTTCCTGGGGAAATCCCCTCTCCTTGCCCAATCGCCTGTGACAAGAGCCGGCTCGCAAGCGGTGAGGGAAATCCCAGCACCGCGCCAAAACTCCGAGCCGAGGAAAAAAACCTCTGAGCACTCAGGGAAATCACCTCACAGCACCCAACAGCCGATCGAAGCCAAAACAGTTAGCTTTGAGGGAAAACTCCTTCACAGCGTGAGGCAGCCGATGCTAGAAAAAAAAGGCCTCCCAAACGCTCAGGGGAATCACCTTCGCAGCGTTCGAAAGCGGAGTGAAACGGAGGCAAACGGCAAATCTGAGGCTCCCAGGGAAGCGCGTCCCTGCAGGGAGTCCCCTGAGGGCTGAAGTACAGCAAACCAAAAACCCTTTCTACAAACGTTCTAATAGTTAATGAAATTGAAAAAGGGGAAAAAATAATAAACAAATGAAACTTGCTAACTCTCTTCACCTAAAGCTAAATACAATTAAATTATTTGAGGAGCTATGCTAAGTTGTGTCCTTACTGAGCCGAGACTAAGAACAAACTGGGGAAGGACAGCCCCAAGGAGGCGTGGCCAAAGTTTGATCTTAGTCTAATAAAGATGCTTTATTAATTTCCAACAGTCGGATTGGACGGACCTACTCCCTTTCGCAGAAGTGGCTTACAATAATGCAGTCCACTCCAGCACAGGTTACCCTCCTTTTCAAATAGCTACCGGTCAAAGTTTCAACCCCATGCCAGAACTAACCCCAAACGAACCGGCAATCCCATCACTGAAAGAATGGATGGAACAATTACAAAACACCTGGCCAATAGTTAGAAAAGCCCTAGATGAAGCTAGGCAAGCATACAAAACACAAGCAGATAAAAAAAGGGTCGAACCTACACCATTCATTATAGGAGAAATGGTGTACTTATCTACAAAATACCTAAAATCCCTACAACCCTGTAAAAAACTTGGACCAAAATATATAGGGCCTTTTCCAATTAAAAGAATTATAAACCCAGTAACAGTAGAATTAAAACTGCCCAAAACTCTTAGGCAAATACACCCAATTTTCCACTGCAGTTTCCTGAAAAGAGAACAACAGTCACCCTTATGGCCAAAAATCCACCCCCACCACCCCCAATCATGGTGGAAGGAGAACAACACTTCGAGATAAAGGAAATCCTAGACTCTAGGAGATATCATGGGACAACTCAATACCTAGTAGCATGGAAATACCTCCCCGCCTCACAAAACGAGTGTCATGTCATGTCAGAGCCCCGAAACTGTTAAAGAAGTTTCATACAGAGTATCCTAACAAGCCAGACTAACTTTTATACCTGTTTTGTTTTCTTTACAGGTGGATCTCTCTTATTTTTAAGGGGGGCAGGATGTCAGAATCCAATTATATTTCATTTCTATCTATCTACTCTGATACAAAACCAATTCTTATTCTATTCTGGATTCTGTCATACTACGAAAGGGGAGGAGGGTAAGCATGGGGGTTTTACGACTCTCACTTCCTTCCTTAACTACAAAGTGACCGTTTGTTGATTCTCTTCGAGAGAACTAACCATAACAATATGGCCATTGCCTTTCATCTTACTCTCTCTGAAGTTCTCCCCTTTGCCGGCAGTGATGAAAAAGGTGTGGGAAATGCAACGCCTGGGATCTGGGAAAAGAGAGGATGAGTGATCGTGCCGACGGAGCGGACTGACGGATTGAATCGCCCGGAAGAACTGTGGGGTGGGGGCTGCTTGGGTACACTTTAAAACATTGAATGGTGGGAGAGGATTCCCCAGATCCTGTCTAGCATGCCTGCAACCAGTTTCTCTTAATAAAGATCCCTGTTGGAAGAGACATTCCAAGAGTTCTGCCTTCTTAAGATGTAAATTGAGGTGGGTCCTTACAGTTTGTCTCCCAGTTGATATCAGTCTCCCATTACTACAATGGTGTGTTCCTATAAACCTTCACTAACTGATTAGCAAAAAGTTCACCTATTTCTTTGCTTGGTTGGGCAGATTGTAGTAGGTTTACTATAGCAATATCATTTATTTTTCCTCTAATATTCACTCAAATACATTTAAGAAAACTTTCATCCTTCGTACTATGTATTTCTGTAGAAGTATATCAATGACTTACATATAGTGCAACTACTACTCTTTCATGGAGTTTGTTTCTTTTGAACAATTTATATACTTCAAGCAGTATGTTCCAATCATGGGTTCCATCAAATCAAGTTTCAGTAACAGGAACAATATCGTACCTGCCCTCATTTACTGGAATTTCAAGTTCTCCCTGTTTGTTCCCAGTACTTTGAACATTAGCATATAGGCACCTGATCCCTTTATGGCTGACACTGCATTTGCTTCCTATGTCTCCTGTTTTATATGTTTCCCCTCCTTCCTCATTGTCTCATTTGTTGTCTTGGGATTTATATTTTTGGTTTAGTCTTAAAGATTGGTCATTTCCCTTCCATTTTTAGTTTTAAGCCCTTTGGATAAGACGAGCCAATTGTTTTCCAAATACATTCTTCCAGGCCTTGTGAAGTGTGCTCTATCTCTTGCTAGAAGTAATTTTTGTAGGCAATGTAAACCTCGCTCCAGAAATCCAAAGTTCTTGTACTTCTAAAATCCTCCGTTCCCTCATTGGATGTTGATCTTTGATAGGTATTATAGAAAAGAAAATTACCTATGCCCCAAATTGTTTTGCTTTCCTGCCTAGTTGCTTGTAATCCCTAGATATTTTTTCTAGGCTCTTGGTTTTATCATTCATCCCAAACTGAAAGGGTAGAAATGGGATAGTATTCAGTGGGCTTGATTACTTTGGTAAGCTTCTCTGACACATCTTTGATCTTATCTGGTCTACAGATTACTGATTCTGTTGCTCTGAGAAGTGAGTCACCAATCACAAACACCTGTCTTTTTTTCTTTGGGGAAGTCTGAGCTACTGAGCTACACTTGAGACCCTTCTCCCAATGTTTGCATGTTTTCCTCCAGGGGAAGGTTATGAAATTGTTTGGCTCCAGTGGTTTTCAGGTCAGTCTTCTTGTTTTTTTTGTCCTGTTAATGCTACCATGCTACCAATGGTCTTTCTCTTGGGGTTTATTTTTTTCTAGTAATTGCTTTTTTCTTGCTGTGTTCAGTTTGGATACAGACCTCTGCCTTTACTAGGAGTTCCACACATTCAGGTTTGAGTATACACATTTATGTGTATAAGAGTATCATTCTTGTCATCCTTTGCAACCCTTATGCCAAGCGCTGTATAAGCCTTTGCATAAATTATCAGGATACAATTTAAAAAAAATTAAAAAGAATTTTAAAACTACTCTTAAATGAACATAAAAATAACCACAAACATTATACATACATACATACATACATACATACATACACTGTATATATTTACTTATATGCAATTACATTCTATTCTGCTTTTTTATATCTTATTTCTACAAGATGATAGGTCTTGTAACTGATATCTGTCTAAAAGTGCAAAAGCTAAAGAAAGCAGTAATTTGAGTCAAGGAAGCAGGTTGGGGCAAGGAGGATAAATTTAAATACAAATTAAAGGGTTGGAGAGAGGAACAGAAAATGATCACAATGTATTCTGAGGTTCTAAGATGTAATAAGTATCTTATATTGATCAAAACCCAGTCAAAACAGCCAGGCACAGAAATCTGATGATAGTTTGATAAAAGTTATCAAAAATATCCTCCCAAATTTCCACAATTAATTGAAATGAAACTAGTTCATATTCATATGGCTTCACAAGTATGTATCTGCTTACATAGAACTATCATTCTATTTTTTTATTCTAAATATCTGACTAAATCATTGTTTTATATAATATGGACTTTTAAAAAATGAAATCTGTATGTGCATTGTTTTGAGTACTGAGAGATATGAATTCAAATTAAAAATGCATTTTTACTAAAGATGATTACAGAATCTTGTGGACTAATGAATAAATTGTAATTTAAATAATTAATCTTCCTAACTAGTGATTAAAATCATGATTTAAATGAAATCCAGTCCAAAGTGAACTGGGAACTTTTCAATTACTAATTTAGGCTCATGCATTCATTCAACTTTATAAATATCCTGCTCAAAAAAATAAAGGGAACATTTTACCATGGAACTGAAGGGGTTTGCGTTCCCTTTATTTTTGTGAGCAGTAAATGATCATACTTCAATAAAATTCAATAAAAAGTTATGAACACCATTTAACTGTATAATTGAAAACAGCGTTAGAAGAATGTTCTATCTAGTCAATATATCTTAAGGTATGAAACGGTGGAAGGCGGCTTCACCTCTGTACCTTATTATTCAGCTGTGTTGCTCCTTGCAAGGAAGCTCCAGTATATCGAGAACAAAATTCAAATAGTCCTGGAAAAACAGGGCTGAGGCAGAAAAACAATGAGACAATTATATGGAATCAAAGATAACATAGCAGATCCATATCATTTTATTTTCTTGTAATACTGTATTTCAAGTTAAGAAAACAAATAGGCAAGCCAATTTGGGGGGGGGAGTGATAATGCATAAGATTTCATAGAAACATAGAAAACTGATGGCAGAAAAAGTGGTCTGCCCTTTAAGTTTTTATTTATTTAAATTATTATTATTATATTTTATTTCTTTTTACTTTTTTTTTTGATGATGGACATGTGTTTATCCCAAGCATGTTTCAACTTAGTTACTGAAGACTGACCCACTACGTCCTCTGGATGTTGATTTCAAGCTTCCACTATTCTTTCTGTGAATTTATAATTTCTAACATTACTTTTGAATTTCCCTGTCAATTTGAGGTTATGCTCCCATGCTCTTGATTTTTGCTTAATACTGAAAATACTGCCTTCTAGAACCTTATTCGCACCCTTAAAATATTTAAAGATTTAAATCTTTTCACACCTTTCTCTTCTGTTCTCCAGGCTGTACATACTCAGTTCCTTTCATCTCTCTTTATATGTTTTGTTCCTCAGACCCTTCACCATTTTTGTTGCCCATCTCTGGACTTGCTCAATTTTATCAATATCAAGTGCGGCCTCCAGAACTGGACACAGTATTCTAAATGGGGTCTGACTAAAGCCCTATATAGCAGGATTAGGATCTCCTTTTTCCTGCTGGTGATCCCTTTAGTGATGCATTCCAGAATTTTGTCCCAAAGATGCTTTTTCAAAAGGCAACAGGACTTTTTTTTTTCTTGAGAACATTTCATTTTTCATCCAAGAAGCTTCTTCGGTTCTGACTGAATGGTGGTGAATGGCAGGATTTAAATTTCTTGCAGTCATCTGTTTGTTAGCATTCTGAAGACCGGTCATTAGCTCTGTAGTATTCCAATACTGTACTCTGCCAGAGGAATCTTTTTTTCCCCAATTGCATGCTCTTACATTAGAAACATTAAACTGCAGTTTCCACATTTTTTATCAATTTTTCAGCAAAGCCAAATTGTTTTCCATGTTATGAATACCCCCAGGAATATCAACTCTATTACATACGTTTGTGTCATCTGAAAAAAGACAAACCTTACCTAGCAATCCTTCTATTATCACTTATAAACGTATTGAACATAACAGGAACTAGGACTCAACCTTGTCAAATTACTTTCAAATTATTCCTGTGTGGAAAGGCTTTTCTCAATATGGCAAATATTATAGGTTTTCTTAGTCATGGAGGGAATGGGGTGTAGGTAGTTCTCAACTCACAATAGTTCATTTAGTGACCATTCCAAGTTGCAACAACACTGAAAAAAGTGACTTATGACCATTTTTCACATTTATGGTCATGTGATCAAAATTCAGACGCTTGGCAATTGACTCATATTTATGATGGTTGCAGGGGTCCTGTGATCCCCTTCTGTGATCTTCTGACAAGTGAAGTCAATGGGGAAACCAGATTCACTTAACAACCATGCTACTAACTTAATAACTGCAGTGATTCACCTAACAACTGTGGCAAGAAAGGTTGTAAAATGGGGCAAAATTCACTTAACAACTGTCTCACTTAGTAACAGAAATTTTGTGCTCAATTGTGCTTGTAAGTCAAGGACTACCTGTATTATCCTTTTATCTGAAATACCCATATAGAATACAATAAATATTACTTCACTTGCCAAGGAAAATAATAAATAATCATCTCAATTGTGCTATATTTCAAAGATGTTCCAAAATATCCAATCCAACTTTCAGAAATTTGCATATTTTCTAATGAACTTCTCAAGTGTTTGATGCAACCCAGAAATGAATAGTTACATAATTACCCCCATAAGTGTGCTTCCACATCAAAATTTTGCAAGATTTAATGTTGCTAAGTGAGAAATTTGTTAAGTGAGTTTTGCTCCATTTTATGATTTTTCTTGCTACATTTGTTAAGCGAATCATTGCAGTTGTTAAATTAGTAACACAGTTGTTAAGTGAATCTGGCTTCACCATTAACTTTGCTTGTCAGAAAGTCACAAAAAGTGATCACATGACCCCAGGACACTGCAACCGTCATAAAAGTCAGTTGCCAAGCAAATTTTGATCACATGATCATGGGAATGCTGTAATGCTTATAAGTGTGAAAAATGGTCATAAGTCACTTTTTCGGTGCTGTTGTAACTTCGAAGGGTCACTAAGCGAACTGTTGTAAATTGAGGACTAGCTGTATTCCTTTGTGGCTAAGTTTGCTCAAGTACTTTTGAAAGTCTGCCCAGGCAGTTTTCTGCTTTGAGCAAAAGAAAAGGAAAGGAAAAAACAACATGGTTGCACATCCTTGATCAATTGAAAGAAATGAAGTACAAAAAAAAAATGGAAAGAGGGACACATAATTATGGCAGAATACCAACAAATAGCCTGAATCTACAAAGCTGAAGTTAGGTAAGTTAAGGCTTAGAACATAGAAACTTGCAACAAATATAAAAAACAATTTTTAAAAAAGTTAAAAAAAAATTGATCCACTATTGGGAGAAGATGGCAAGAGAGTAAAGGGTAGTAGCAGAACTTCTCAATTCATTCCTTGAATCTGTCTTTATGCAAAAAGAAAATATAATCCAACTCACCAAGACCAGAGTCATAAAAGACAGCATAGGAATGCAAATTAAAATAAGCAAAAATAAGGTAAGAGGACCTTTCAGCTCTAGATGGATTTAAACCACCGGGTCCTGACTGATTACATCCCAGAGTTCTGAGGGAACCGGCAGACGTAATCTCAGAATAATTGAACCATGTATTTCAAAGTTCTTGGAGCAACAGGGAATATCTGAGGACTAGAAAAGAGCTGATGTGGATCCCATCTTCAAAAAAGGAGAAAAAACAAACCCAAGGAAAATACAGACCAATCAGCCTGACATCAATTCTTGGGAAGATCTTGGAAAAGATAATCAAGCAAACAAAATTATAACCTAAAGCCAACATTGGTTTGTCAAAAACAGATCATGCCAAACAAATCTTATTTCATTTTTTGACAAAGTGACTAAATCATTAGATCAGTGAAATGCTGTGGACATAGTATACTTAGATTTTAGTAAGGCATCAAACAAAGTAGACCACAACATACTAAAAAATGTGAGATAGACAGCACCACCACCAGGTAGGTTTGTAACTGGCTGACAAACCGCACTCAATGGAACTACATCCACATGGAGGGAAGTAAGCAGTGGGGTATCCTAAGTTCCATTTTAGGCCCAGTACTCTTCAATATCTTCATAAGCGATCTAAATGAGGAAATAGAAGGGGAACTCATCAAATTTGCAGATAACAGTAAGCTGGCAGGAATAGCCAATACCCCAGAAGATAGGTTCGCAATCTGGATGGATCTTGATAGACTTGAAAACTGGGCCCTATCCAACAAAATGAAATTCAATGTAGAGAAAAGTAAGGCAAGAAAAAATAAATGTACAGGTACAGATTAGGTGAAGCCTGGCTCAATGCCAGTAACTGTGAGAGGGATCCTGGAGTCCAAATGGACACTTAAGTATGAGCCAACAGTGTGCGGCAACTACAAAAAAAGCCAATGCAATCCTAGGCTGCATTAATAGAATTAATAGATGGATAGAATCAAGATCACATAAAGTATTAGAACCACTTTACAAAACCTTAGTAAGACCACACTTAGAATACTGCATCCAGTTTTGGTCATCACAATAAAATAAAAAAGATGTTGAGACCCTGTAAAGAGTACAGAGAACAGCAACAAGGATGATTAGGGAGCTGGAGGCTAAAACATATGAAGGGCAGTTGCAGGAATTGGATATGTCTAGTCTTGTGAAAAGAAAAAATAGAGGAGACATAATAGTAGAGTTCCAATATCTGAGGGGCTGCCACAAAGATGAGGGGGTCAACCTATTTCCCAAAGCACCAGAGGGCAGGTCAAGAAACAATGGATGGAAACTAATCAAGGAGAAAAGCAACCTTTCCTAACAGTGAGAACAACCAATCAGTGGAACAGCTTGCCTTCAGAACTTGTGGGTGCTCCGTCATTGGAGGCTTTTAAAAAGAGACTGGTCAGCCATTTGTCTGAAATGATATAAGGTCTCTTATCTGCAAGCACTTAGAGAGACTGGACTGTCTTAATTTTATCTTGCAACCAATAGCTATTAGGAAGGAAAGATTGAAAATAAAGCTTCACACGTAATTCTGGTCATTGATTTCCACAAGAATATTGCAGACAAGATCAATGAAAATGAGTAAGACAGTACAGCAGGCATAGTTAAATTGGTAAGGTAGTAGGCAAGTTCCTGGCTAGAATTAAGCTTCCAGTATTTCAAATATTTAAGTCATTTGGATGTTTTATATCTTAAATGTACCACCTAAGAATCCCTTCAGCTCTGTCACAGCTCAATAATAGTAGAACTCTGGTGGAAGTCCTTTACATCAGCACTTTTCTTAAAGTATCATTATCTAGACGAAGTGAAAATTACCATCAAGCACTAGATGAGCGATTAAATTTAAAAGAAGAGTAACTTTCTTCATGTAGAAAAGAAAAATTAAGTACACAGGTATGTGATAAGGGATATGACTGCACTCTTCAAATACCAGAAATACAGGACTTCCGGTTTTGCGCGGTAGCGACCGGTCGCGGGCTTGAGGATTCTTCGCACCCCACGGCTAATTTCGCCCTGCCTGGGGACCTAAATGGGTCTAAGGCGATGAAGAAAGAAGGGTGCTCCAGCGATTCTGCAATGGCAGTGGCCGTTCCGTTCAACTTGGGGAAAGCCTTCTAACCTGACAGGAGAAAGGCTGGCCATATTGCATCGACCAGTCCAAGCTACTAGCAACTGAAGTCCAAAAGCACTAACCAACACAACTGTGAACAGCATGCTTGAAACTGGGTGAGGAATTCGATCTTCTCTTTTCTATTCTACATTTAATTTCCTGGAAAAGATCCCCAAGAAGCAAAATACCTCCGAAAGGGAAGAAGG